GTAGGAAGACTTAGAGGAACGCACTTTGTCCGGAGTCCATTGTATGCATCATTATTTCCAGAGTAGGACCATGGACGTGTTACATTCCCAGACGTTTCGCCGGCATCCTTGTGGGAAAATCTACTATCATCCCCCTACCACATTTTGCATCCTAGTGTGGCTACTGTTCTTATCCGAATAAAAACTTCGTTCCTAATAGTTTCCAAGCCCACTCATCATCTCTTTTCTCGGTAACTTGATAACTGTTGCTATCCAACTATGCCAAAGCAATGGGTCGATAAACCTTAATCCTAACCGAAGGTATAAAGACCAAGATGGTGTGGCCTTTTGTGTGGTCGCAGTCTCCTTTCGTTGAATAGAACTTAATCCTAACCTTTGCTCTGGGGATGAGATTGTAGCTTACTTTTTAGTGTTCAGGCCTCTAGTCATCAGGCTTTTGCATATCTTAATCTTGTTTGTGTTTATACCTGTGGAAATAATTCACTAGTAGAATAGATGTGTCGAAGTTTTGAGTACCTTCGAAACTAGCAACACATTCCGTGATATTTTCTCTCATATTTGAGTGATATTTCTCTTCAAAACTATTTTCTTGGGCTCTTTGAAAAAATTACAAGAGCAGCAATAATTTTTACATAGTATTCTTTAGTGAAATACAATAAGAAACATATCTGATTTTATTTACTACTTTTCATTCCCAGGCTTAGTCCCAAAAGAATCAGAGCCTTTCCGGTTGGGAGTTAGTCCAAACACTCATCTCATAGGTCACCCTAACGTGCCCGGAGGTCCTTCCAGCCCGCCAGCAGCTCGTATGCACTCAGGTCTGAAGGCCTGTCCTAGTCTACAACATCACCAACAGCAGCAACAGCAACAGCTATCTGGTCAATCAGCTGGGTTACGAGGCTCTCCTGGTCTCGTCTCGGGCCCTGACAATCAAGCTACCCAATATATATCACATCATCAACATCAACAACAAGCTCAGTTAATTGGCCATCCTGGTGGTGGAATGCACATGCCCATGCACTTTCAGCAGCATAAGCAGAATTCACAATCTGGAGTGGTCATGAGTCAGGCAAACATGGTTGTGTCCGGACAGCAGATGCACGGCTCTTTGCAGTCTACTGGCATGGCATGTTATACTCCTCTACTTATTATTTATATGAATTGTATTTATCATTACCTCTTGCATATCCTTATTCGTTATTTCTCGTTAAGTATTATCGGCTTGCTGTCTGCACCTCGCCTTCAAATATTCATGAATGCAATAAATGACCCTATAAGCTAAATTCACCGATAATTTATATGCAATTTTTTTCTTTTACAAAGTCATTTTGCACTTTGTTGCTTTTTTATTTTATAACACTTTATCATGCTCTTCATCCTTAATCAAATTTATTTGATCTTGGTTTCCTCCATCTATATTCATTTCTTTCCCTCATATATAATTTTTTTCCGGCATATTTCTATCTCTACGAATTTTTGACACTTCTCCGATCATTCACTTGTTTCATTTTTTCTCCTTATTATCACCCAGGCTCAACAGAGTCATTTGTTCCCTGGTGGTTCCAATAGCCAATTACTAACCATTAGTCAGAACCCCTGTTCTGCAACGCCTCCTATTTCTGCGGCTCCGACTGGTCTTCCGCCACCCTCCGTTTCGCCCTCAATCACCTCCACTCCTCCTTTATCAACAGGCCTAGTTTTGTCTGCACAACCAGGCTCGAGTATGGGTCATAATTCGACTATCTGTCCTAACCCGACGCCTGTTTCTACTGGTTCTTTGGCCCCTCCCGGACTACTTGGGCTCAACATGGGCTTGCCACACTCACTTGGTAGATCTATGGGGCCTGTGGTTACATCATCAAATGCAACGCCCCCTCCTACACTCCCAGCATCTCAACAACAGCAACAAGCTAGGGGGGCTTCCAGAATTCCTCAGTCCGGACCCTCAGGCCAATGGCAAGCGATGCAAACTCACTCCTCACCCGCTAAGCTATCGATGCAGCATCGTGCTTCTGGGCAAATGCAACAACAACAACAACAACAGCAACAGCAACAACCTTCTGGTCTTCAGACAAATGTGAGCCACAATTTCTACTTAAATATTATTTTATTCCTTTTGTCGTATGCTTTGCTTTCGATTATTATCTCTTGGATTTTACTGTATCCTATACGATCTAAAATATACCTAGTTAAAAAAAATGGTTCTGAAAACTATCGATGTCCATGGCCAATAAACCAAAAGAAATAATGCGTCAATTCGAACGGATATTCCATTTTCTATAGATTAGTCTACATTATGCAATTGATAAATCTGATCCAGAATGTACATGCAGGCATTTTCCCATCAACAAAATTCACATTTGGCCAAGGACCATTTGCTTACTATCACTTACTTTAACCCCATTTTCTATTTCATATAGTATCCATACTGTAAAACATATCCTAGTGGTTGCTGGGACAAAAAATATAGTCCAAAGTTTGACTAAATAGGATCTCGTTGAGCTAGTTAGTTAGAGTAAAATCGAGCTGGCATTCATACCATTTGGTGAACTCAGGGATCCTCATCTGCTTTTTATGTAGGCCATAATCATCAAATTATGTGAGCAGATGCTTTAGCATTCTTTTGCATACTATTGGAAATGATGATGTGAGACCTCAGATTCTTCCCTCAAATTCCTTAACTTCGTTCTTCTATATATTTAGTCCCAATAATTTTACTTTTACAAGGATTACTACATATTGATCATACTCCCCCAAGTGCATCTTATTCCTTCACGTCTGGCTTTTTAGATTTTCCTTATTATAAGGAAATGTTGTTTTGTACCTGTATTTTTTGAATTTCTGGACTTAAGCATATTATGGGCCGACTTGTACTCTTATATTTCGTATAAATTTCTTTGGCATTACGTATTTATAAGTCTAGTTCATTGGTTTAATAAGGTATCATAAGCTTTTAATTAATT